TATGAGAATTCGCCATGAAAGAGATTTACAAAAAATATAAATGCCACCCTTCTCACTATATATTTCCTATTTTGAAAATCAGTTGTTTTGCCTACAATATGTTATCTATCACCTGTAATGAGTTTGTTATTTTAAAATAAATTATTAGACACATGTACTATTTTAAAACTTCATGGTTCTCATTTCAAATACACTATATATGGGTAGAAGTAACCCATATAAACAAGGGCTCTCTGGAGTCTCTAATAATTTTTAAGAGTGTAAAAGAGTCTTGAGCTCAGAAAGTTGGGGATTGGCTGCATTAGTTTATAGTACTTTACTTGTTCTCAATTCCGAACATTCCAGTAGTAGCGGAACTCTACCTTTAATAGACAGCCAGGGTAGGAAAGAAATCCCTGGGGGTTCACAGTGCCAGGGGTTAATCATTAAAGGAGGAGTCCCTCTGCTAGGTGCCCTGGCAACGCACTTTGGCAACTGTTTTTGGGGTGGGTGAGGGGTTTGCCCTCTGTGTGCAAAGCAGAGAAAGGCCATTGCAATTGTGAAGGTAAGCAAACTTATCAGGCTGTTTTAGAAAGAGTGAATGTGGAAGTTGAGGATCTGGAACTCTATTCCCCTAAAACGAGGTATGCATGTATCCTCCTGGGAAAGTCTCCATGGACACCCAGGAATAGGGTACCCCCAAAGATGCTGGGCTACACTCTCTGTTTGGAAGAGGTAAGAAGGGGAAAACACAGAACCTTAGACACTGGACATCTGGTCTTCAAGGCTCTGCAAGCATCCTGAATCACAGCCCTTTAAAGAAAATCTGCTCTTCACCTGGATGCACACAGACCTTTCCACAGCCCCAGGACACAAAAGCCTGCTCACTAATTAACATGGGACTCAATCTCAGTCCTGTGGTTGGTGATTCATCCAGCAGGGCCTGGCTCAGCTGTGTGGTTCTTAGGCTACATGATTTGGCAGTTTGACAAACCTAGGGCTTACCCCCAGTTGTGGCTGAACAAACCCAAGCAGGATCCTTACATTCTCCTGGCCTCAGTTCCACATCTGTAAAGTGGGAATAACAATATCTACTTTGCATTTAAAGCGCCCGGTGTACATTATTAAATTAATAGCTACCACTTTGGTGCTTACTCCTGCCAGGAACTGTCAAGTTCTCTTCCTTTATATGATTTGGTCCTCACAAAAAGACTGAAAAGTCATTATGGTCTTTCTTCACTTCTAAGGAGAAATTTTGTCTCCATTTAACACATCCAAAAATTGAATTTTGTCTTGCATTGGATGTGCATATGGTTTGTTCTACTTTGCAGGAGAAGTTAACAAATCGATGGTGAATCTGATAATAAAAAATGAATGAACTTCTCCACTTTATGAATGGGAAACAAGTTAAAAACATGAAGGTAACTTGTCCAAGACCACACATCTGGAATGGGGCGGGACAGAGATAAACACAAGACCGTCGGTCTCCAAAGCCTGGGGTTGCCTGGTCAATTCATCGCACCAGGCTGCCCGCCTCTCCTCACCCCAGCCCCCCATTCCACCACACAGTCAGGACTTGGAAATGAACTGAGTCCCACCCAGGCCTTAAGGATCCTCTCCGCCCCTTCACTCACCACATGTAGTTGCCAGAATATCCAGGTGAGGCATCTTTTGTTCAGTTAATCCAACATGTCGGAGGTAGAGTCACTCTGATGCCTGCAGCTTAGTTTAGGCCTTGAGGAACTGAAAAGGGACAGCTCACCTGTAACCCCCATCCAACCCCAGCATCAGGGATTCACTGACAATGCAACGTCATGAAGCATGTTGCTTATGGGGAACACCTCTCCGCTGAGTCCACCGTCCTCCCCACCACCGTGAGGTTTCTTTCTTACAGTCGCCCCTCCCCCCCCGCCTACCCCAATCTGCACTTCCCCCTGTGCCCTGAATCCTATTTGGCTAATGATCCCTGCACACAAAAGACATCAGGCTTCTGCCATTGGCACACGAGCTATTGAATATCTCCAAAGACTTCTCTCCAGGGGTGTGCAAGCAATCCTCTTTAGTCCTAAGTGGCAGAAGTAGCACGTTTTGAGGTGCTTCTGTTGTCTTCACGGGGGTTCTCTTTTAGTATGGTCTTAAAAGTATGTCAGAACCTATAGGTTGAAACCAGTGCCTTGAAAAGATTACCCGAACCATCAATGCACTGACCGTAAAGACCTGCTCATGGGCTGAGAAAATCCCAATCTAAGCCCACTCATGCTGTGTGGAAAAATGTAGCTCAAGAAGTTTATAAAACAACCTTCAGGACTTAACTCCACCAGACTTCAGTTGCCCTGTCTTCAGTCTAAAAGATTGTAGAGGTTTATGGTAGAGATGAAATAAGAGCCTTTGGGAATCTAGAAGAGTCTCTTGTGTTTTCCTTATCGCTCTGGATATGTTCGCAATTTGTATTTTAGGATGATTTGGGGGGGGGTCAGATTTATTGTAAAATTTCTCAGCATGTTGCTTTCCTTTTCCTCACAATGGTTGGTAAGGACTTTGAAGTTAAAATATTTACATTGTGGAATCTCAGTATTTCCTTTGTGGTTTCTTTTACTGCTTTTAAGCTTGATTTTTGTCCACCCAATATTTTTTTCTCCTTTTTAACAGTTTGGTATTTTTTAACACTTAGGTCAAACGGATGGTGCAATGCTATGGTCTAATTAGCTTCTTCTCAAATAGTGGACTATTTTTCCCAGTTCTGCTTATTAAATAATCCCCAATTAAATATTCCCAACACTGCTGGTGAGAAAAACGTTAAATGAGCCAAGGCCAAAGTGCGACGAGTCAGGCTGGCTGGCTGCCCCCACCAGCAGGTCTGGACCGCGGGTGGGGAGCGTCTAGCATCAGGAACGCAGGTACTGCCCAGCCCCGCCAAGAGTGAGGCCACCAGCTCTGTTTACTCAGAGGTAAACCCCCCCCAAGCCCCCATTTGCCCACTCCCCACCCCTCCCTGGCCTCCCACCCTCTATGGCACAATGCATCTGCTGCTTCTTCGGAAGTGCTGGTAAAATTCTTGGGAGGAACTTCTGCCCACACAGATTTTGGAGATTACCTGGGGATTTCCACAAACTGGGCCAGGGCTCCCATCTTCTCCTGATGGGCTGCTGATGACTTCTCTAAAGACCCTGACCACCTGACCACCAGCTGGGAGGTATTAGCCCATGCCTCCCAGCCGACAGGCAAGCAGCTTAACGCTGAGCGGACCCCTCACCTGTTCTGCTGCTAACTCACATTACTGTGGAAAGACCGAGGAGACATGGAAGGGACACTCTATAATGGTTAAAGCCACAAACTTTAGAGTCCCAAATACCTGGATTAGAATCACTAAAATTTACCTGCCAAGGTAAGGGCTAAGTTACCTTCAGTGAGTCTCGAATTCTACATCCCTAAAACGGGCATGACAGTAACAGGCTGACCTCTTGGGGCACCCCTAAGGATCACCGAACAGGGTTAACTAAATCTTCAGCACTGCAGCAGTTAGTACCTGGCATAATGACTTTATCTGCCACAGGGTAATTCCCACTGTGGTTTTCAAGGTACAAAGAGCCACAGCGTGTCTGGCTCGTATTTAGGACCTCAGTAATGAATCAATTTCCTTCTGGCATTGACTTTCCTGCAGCTTTCTGCCCCTCTTCTCCCCCCGACTTGCCTACCTGGTCACCCTTTCGTCAATATTTATTCTGTCCTTACTGGGGCGCCTGGGTGGCTCAGTTGGTTAAACCGCTGCCTTCAGCTCAGGCCATGATCCCAGGGTCCTGGGATCGAGCCCCACATCGGGCTCCCTGCTCCGCGGGAAGCCTGCTTCTCCCTCTCCCACTCCCCCTGCTCGTGCTCTCTCCCTCTCTCTCTCTCTCTCTCGCTCTCTCTGTGTGTCAAATAAATAAATAAAATCTTTAAAAAATATATTTATTCTGTCATTATAGCCCTGACCCAAGGTCACACATGCATCTCAGAGCTTGCCCAGAAGGTCATGATACTTGCAGATTTCCACCACCTGGTGGGCCCGGGGCTTTGAAGTTTGCGTACAACCTCTCCCAGGACCACCTTCCAATTTCCTTGGTAGATGACCGGAGAGATCGGCCCCAATCTAGGGACAGAGACCCACGTCTGTGAAGGCTGCTCCCCTGAGCCCTGCACCCAACACGTCACGAGCGCTCCACCGTGGGCTCTGAAGTTGAGAGGCTGGCCTGAAGTGTGGGTCAGGCCCAGCGCACGGTGGGTGTTTGTGCTCCGAGTGCCAGGCGAGGCCCTTGACCAAAATGCTCTGCCCGCCATGCCGGTTGCAGAGAACCTCGGAAGTCATTTCAAAATGGAGGTGCCAAACCACTGACTCCTGGGTCTCTTGGCAGCTAGGCTGGAGAAAGCGTCAGCGAGGCAGAAAGACTAAACTTGGGAGCAAGGTCTGTTTCTGGCCTGTAACAGCAGGGGCCACGGGTCTTCTCATTCAGCCCCCAGCCCCCAGCCCTGCCTGCATTCGAGGGTCCTCTCTGTAGAGACGAAGGTGCTCAAGTCAAACACCTCGCTTCAGGCGTGGCAGAGTGGCCCGAGAAGCTCGACTGAGTCTTCTTTTCCCCAGCAGAAACTGGACAGGGGCGACAAGGGGGCGGGGGGGGAAGGGCAGGGACGTGGAAGGATCCCAGAACCTAACACCAAATGCCTTCCTGTGACTCTGCCCGGGGCCATCACGTGCAGCCATGCTTGTGTGAGCACGCTTCTGCTGAAGGGGCTGAGGAGCAAGGGCACACACACGGGCCGGTCTGTGCGCCGTGAAGGGACGGCCGTATCGTACGGATCAATGTCGGCAATCCGTACCCGCACGTCCCGTTTAAAGGACAAGACCGGTGGTAGGTCGGTCAAGAGCCCAGTGGTAGACACTTGGTGCACTGACCACAAGGGTCAACTACACACTTTCCTCTGCCCGCCCCCCCCCCCCCCCCCCCCCCCGCCCCCAGAAAAGGATCAGAGGTGCACTTCATCAGCGTATTTCAACCAGGTATTTTATTGTTCTGGCAACTGCAAAATATACAAATTTCTGAAAAGCATCCCATTTGAAAAGCTGGCACACCCCTCATCCCAGGTCATTAATTCTGACAATATACAGAACACAGAGAAAGTCGTAAGTCACACGTAAAAGGCCCCCAAACCAACCAACGAACAACTAAACCCGATCTATACAGCTTTCTATTTTCAGGCTCCCTTATACATATTAAATAAATAAATAGCACATCTGCTATCAAAATAATAAAAAAATAAATTTCAAGTATTACAAACGAAAACATCATTGGTGTGGTTGTTTCTCTTCTCCCCGCGAATGACGAGCTTCGCCCGTGGTCTCAGGACAGAGTAAGGACACGGGGTAAGCCCACCCAAAAACAACGATGCCGAGTTAACAAAATTGGTCCCAGATATTTTTCGGGGGGTAAGGGGGGAGAGGCGATGGAGTATCAGTAGCCCCATGACCACAGCTCACACACACGCTCCGTCCAGCGCCTCGAGTCCGATCCCGGCTTTCCGTCGGGAAGCATTCTGCTCTCTCTGGGGTCTCTCGGCTCCTCCGTGTTTATGTCCTCTCGCCCCATCTGGGCCCTCACACACGGAGTGCTCGGGATGTTCCCTTCCGGAGGTACTGACCTCAGCAGTTGGAGGCCGGGGGAGGGCACCCACACACAGCCCCAGGTGGATCGGTAGGAAGGGTCAAAACTCAAGAGTTGGCTCTGGCGGCCAGCGTGACAAGGAGGCCAGAAAGAGGGACTTAAGAAAGCTGTCCTCAAGAGCAGAGCTGCACGCCCCTTGGTCTAAAAACACGACCGACCTACAAGCACACGCTCGTGCGCGCACGCTCGCCGTCTGACGAGACTCGAGATGGCAGGAAAGGGAAAATGACCATCTTCGGCCACACAGGAACACAGGTACGCAGACATCGTTTCGGGCAAAGTGCCCAACTGGGGAATTATGGGGGAGGATCTGAATGTTTCGGTGCGAAACCCACGAACTTGACTGTATGGTATCGGAAGCATGTCCCGATGTCCCACTGAACCCCAACCAGAAAAACACGTGTTGTCCAGCCCCCGGTCTGGATGTCCAAGCCCCCCACCCCCACACCCCGAGCCCACTCCCAGTACACGTCTCTGTCAGCTTAGAGGGGTGAGACTGTCCGACTCGAAAGCAGAGGGCGAGCAAGGGAAGTGACCTTTGGCACCAGCTTTTTAGAGATTCTTCAAAGGGTCATTTGGGCAAATTCTACCACGGAGTCTCCAAATCATTTCTTCTGGGCCTCAGGACCCCTCCTCATCCCCAGTCCATGGAGGCAGCAAGGAGAAACCAGTAGGCAGAAACTACAGGTATTCAGAACCACATGCCCCACAAGCCCTGCTCTGATCCACCCCCAAAAATGCCACAGGAGCCAAAGGCAAGTGAGGACATTCTCTTCTTCAGAATAAAGCAACCCAGGACCATGCTGGGTGTATAGCAGATGCTCCACACAAATATGCAGGATTGAGCTCAGTCCCGCCAGGAGACCACAGACAGCCTCTTGGAGGATGCGGCCACAGGGGACGTCTCGGCTGGGCCACCGTCCCCACGTGGGAAGCACAGGGAGACGATGAACATCCTGAAGGAAGGAGGCCAGAGGCTTGATCATCTCTGCTCCATCTCCCGGGTCAGTCTTGCAAGGATCCGAACAACTTGCTGCCCGCTGGTTGACTGGGGTCCCCCTGAGCTCCCCATCTCATGGGCATGCCCCATTCCCCACATGCTTTCCGAGCTCCAGCCTCCAAGGGCACGAATCCCAAACATCAAGGTTCCTGAAGAGAAGGTGCAACTTTCCCATCCCGCCTTCTGCCAGTTAAGAAAGTGCAAGAGCAAGCAGCTCAGGGGGGAGGGGGAGGGGGGAGGCCCTGGGGCTCTTCTGGAACAGTATTTCCCTTTGCTGACACAGCCAGACTGTCCTTGAGCATCTGCAGAGGCAGAACGCAGACCCAGGAAGGAAGGTGTGTGGCCCCGCGGCAGGTGGCTAACGATCAGACAGGCGCGTCTGGCTCAGAGCCTTCTCCCTGCACCTCTGGCCCCAGCCCAGCGCAGGCCTGAATCCTTCCTTCACGAGGCAACATCTGAGCCACGAGGCCCAGGAGAGCCTTGTAAAAGTTTTCACCATCCCTTCCTCTTCAGCAACTGGGATCTAGGCCCCCCTTTAACTCTAGGATTCTGGGGCCAAGTGTCATCTCCCCAAGCTGGGAACATACCAGGTCAGGATCATAGAAACTAAACAAAACAAAACAGCGTGGAGGCCAACATCCCCTCCTCGGGGCCTTCTCCCAGCTCCTCTTCGACGGCTCATATCCTTCCTGAGCCGTGCGGAGGATCAGCGAGGCCAGGGAGAGGGCGCGGACCCCACACACGCCCCTGGGAGAGGCCTCTGGGGGTCTCGGCCGCCCTGCCGCGGTCGGGGGCCTGGTCCTCTCTGACCAGCAGGCCCCTCTTCGATCCCACCCACCCCGTTCCGGAAGAAGTCCTGGGGATCGCTGGCCTCGGGTAGATGGGAAAAGCACTAACTAAGCTGCAGGAATGGAACTGGAATGGAACCGCCGGGTCCGGCCTCAGTGTGTCCTGGAGTCGATGCTGCTCTGGGTGCCTTTCATGTTCTGTTTCCAGGAGAAGAGAGGGGCGAGGAAAGGGAATTATTATTTCCTGTCCACGAGGCTTCCTAAAGCCAAAAAGACTAAAGCCATGCGATGGAGACCACGTCCCTCCCTCAGACAAAGAGCACGACCCCAGAAGAGCGTCATCGCCAAACGGGTGGAAGAAGGCCCAGGTGGCCTCCAGGGCCGTGGTGGAAGTTAAGCCCAACGTCACCCCACAGAAGGGCCTGGGCAAGGCCGGGCGAGGGCCCTCGGGGCAGAGGCCTGGCACCTGCTTCTAGGAGGCGGGGGGAGAACAGGCAGCTCTCGTGGGTCGGAGCTCCGGGCAACACCGAGCGCCCGCACTTAAGGAGCCCTCCAGCCCTCGGCCCTTTAGAGCCTGGAGACCGGCCCGCCCACCCCCAGGGCAGGAGATGGGCCAGGGGCCCTCCAACGAAGCATACGGACTCTCCTCCCAAGTTGCTCAAGTAGACCGCGCGTCCGGCCCTTGGGTCCCAGATTCTAGGAACGGGCCGGGCAGCCAGAACAGGGGTGCCACTGGCCAGAGGGACGGCACCAGGGAGGAGCCAGGCAAGGACGCCAGGCAGGCAAGGACGCGTGTCACTAAAGCTCTCTTCCTGTTGTAACAAAAGCAGTCCTTGCTGGAAGTCCCACCCCTACCTATGATGCTGACCAGGATCAAAACCCCCTTGAAAAGCTGTCTCTCAGTCAGCTGGGGCCGGAGGGCAGCTGCCAGGGCACGCGGCACGCTCCTCGCCTCGCCTCCACCCGCCTCACCAAGAAAGGAAACAGTTGGTCCAAGTGCTCTTTCCCCTCCTGTCTCCGCCCAGGCCGTGTGAAGGGGGCGGGGGGAGGGGGAGCGGAGGCGGGCACACAGGGGTGCAGGGATCCTGGCGGCCCCCTCTGCTCCCGCGCAGAACCAAGGGTCCGCAGTGGGGACGCCTGGACAGAAGAGACTCGCAGGACCCGCAGCCCCCACTCAGCCCAGGCCACCGCCACCTCTGGTCACAGGTCCATGCGGCGGTGTCTGTGGGTGGGGGTCTCCCCAGGAGGACCTGGCAGCCTTGCAGCCCACCACTTAGGGAGCTCGAGGCGCTGCCCGCCCCCACTGCAGCTGCCGGCTCCACCCGGCCCTCTGAGCTCGCACGCCCACGGCTTTGAGCGCCCGCGGATGATGACAAATAGAACAATGACACTGGGGAGTGCAGGCACGGGCCACGTCACATCACTCACGCATGGTGCCCTGGCTCAGGCCATATGGAGGGAAACAAGGAAACGAGAGAAAGAGAAAGAGAAAGAGAGAAAGAGAGAGAGAGAGAGCGAGAGCGAGAGAGAGAGGACCTCGAGACAATGGTGCTGCTCTTTAAAAAAACACGTGTTCTCCGACACGGGGTGTATGAGTCACAGACTTGACAATGGCCAGTCTCCACACAGACCGAGATGCCCGGACAGGCTGAGATGCCATGCCTCAGGGAGAGGGGGAGGGGACAGAGAGGGGCATGCACAGAGCCATTTACCTTTCCAAGGTTAGTAAGGAGAAAACTTTGAGAAAATGTGACAAACAGTTCGTCTTTCAAGCATAGTGGGGGGAAGGGAAGAACATGTTGGGAAAGAAGAACAGAACAAAACATCTTTAGTAGTATCTTCTTTTTCGTGTGCATTTGAAATTTAAAAATCAAGGATGCCCGATGGTCCGCCGCCCAGAGCACTAGTGCTGCCAGCAGGGGAGGAGAGCAGAATGCGGCACCCGACCCGGCAGGCGGGCCCGCTTAACCAGGAAACCACGATCTCACGATCTCGCTGGTGTCCTCAGGCCACAACCTGTAAGCCCCCAGGGGTTCTCCCCACTCCCCAGTCTCCTGGTGCTCCTGCTGCTCAGGAGAAGAAACCCCACTGGCCTATGCAGAAGGAACAGGGGGGCATCCAAATGCAGAGGGAGCGCAAACCCGAGCACCCTGGGCATCCCAGCAAAGCACAGGGCACAGTCTGTCCCGTGATAACGGCTAGTGTCCACCGGGCACGGACTATGTGCTGGACATTCTGCTAAGCTCCACATCTATATTCTCATGATCAAAACACCTTGTGCTGTTCCTGTCTCCATGTTACAGACGAGGAAGCAGAAGTGCTAGAATTGCCCAGAAGTCCAAAGATGGAGAGCAATAAAACCAAGATCCAAACCGGGTTTGGTTTGACTTGAGTAGCAAAAGTGGGTATCTGCGATCTCAGACGTGGCCTCACACTCCCAGGCGGGGCTGGACGCTGGTGCAGGTGTGACGGGTCCAGAGGATATACTTTTGCTGAACTGCAGGGATTCTAGCCAAAGGCACTATAAGCCACAGAGACAGGCAAGTTCAACCTTAGAAGGTGGGGAGGATATGCCCGAGGGGCGACCCTCCCAGCAGGAAGGTGTCTTTCCTGGCAGCATCAGGCCATGGCTCAGAAGCAACAGGATGTGCACAGATGCAAAAGTAGAAGCCTCCAAACCCAAAGGCTAGTTTTCACACCAGGAGAACTCCTGCTCTAGAAGCACTCGGTTACAACGCTCCTACCAGACAGGGGACAGATTGTCTTTAAGGCTGAATTTCACGGACAGGCCCACCAGTAAGTAAACACACCGCAGCTGCAGAGGGCAGGTGCATGGGAGAGGCTGCAAGAGCTAGAAAGGACATCCAAGCAGCTCTGGGCGATGCCCCATGGGCCTCAAACGTCAGAGGTGCCCCGGCCAGCGGTAGGTGAACAGTGCCTTGACTGCTGCCAGAAGCCAGCACAGAGAAGGCAGTCAGCCTTCAGGAGAGGTAGACGGACCCATTCAAGTCCCAGTTCTGCTACTGACTAGCTGGACGGCCGTAGGCAAGGGCCTTACCCTTGTCCATCTGGTAAAAAACGGACAGAACTGCCCTACAGACCTCCTGGAGTTATTTTAAGGCCCAAAGACACGGAACATATGCAAGCAAGCCCATTCTCCGTGAGCTGTAAAGCATCGCAAAACAGATTTCGCTGCAGGTGGGGCCACCTAATCCCAGCATGATGCTAAACAACCACTTTCCAAGAACAAGCCACACTTTCAAGCTCACCAGGCTGGACTCCTCAAGCCAGTTCCATTTCTGCGTCAATTAGTCAAGGTCACCCAATCAGCAAAAAGGAGGATGGGCAGGTAGTGACCGGAAGGGCTGGGGCAGAGGGTATATCACGGCAGCTGTTCATGGAACTCCAAGATGGAAGGCCTCGGCTCCTTCCGTGGCGGGGGCCGCCGGAGCAGTGGACACACTAAATTATCTAGCAGCTTAACAGAAGCTTAACCAGAAATTCTGACACTTAACCAGAAACTTCCTGCAGAACTCCGGCTGAAGGACAGGGGAAACCAATGGTTCTGATTCGAGCGCTGCACCCAATCCTGGTCGTGACCATTAAGGCTAAGCAGATGCTGGTACAGGACAACCAGATCCACAGCGATGGTTCCCAAACAGACCTCCCCAGAGAGCTAGGGTCTCGGAGCCCCCACAGGAGTGGGTCTCTGCTTGGACAGAAGGGAGAGCCTGCAGGGTTGCAGGCCCACCACACCCGCTCCCCGCCCCCCGCCCCCCGCCCCCCCAGAGCCTGTCCTCCTCTGTTTTGCAGACGAGGCCCTGGGTTACTTTTCCTTTCAACATGAAAGGCCTCTCCCAGAGGAGGCACAGAACTTAAAAGATGATGCATCGGGCATAAGACCCAGCCTGGCACCAAAATCGGACTTGAGGGAAAAAGGTAGGTTTATATCAAGCCAGGCCCACTGCAAGTACTAACAGTTAACGAGGACCCCAAGGGACATGCAGGAAGGCAGCTGTGGCAAGCGGGGCAGCAGGACACGCCGGAGACAGCGGGGCCACATTGCTTCTTGCAACTTTCTCTAAAACTTCATGAATCCCTTCCCCTCCCCCAAGGCCGTCTTTCTCTGTCAGATATGACCAAAACTGTCACGGTCCTCCACATTTTATCAGGCGGGAGGCCAAACTGGCAAGGAGAAAGAGGTGCGAGGAGCAAAATTATTCACAGAAAAATACTTACAAACAGGCTTTCCCTAGCAAAGGCTGCAGAGAGAAAAAGTGGAGAGAGAGAGAGAGAGAAAGAAGTCAGTAGAGGGACAGGGTACAGGCCCCGAGTCATTTGAAACCAGGACATCCTCTGCTGGGACCAGCCTGGCCCCACCCGATGGCTTCCAGACTTCCAGAGGATCCGGCCTGGCAACCTCCAAGGACTGTCCTGTCAAAGTCGGGGGCGCCCCAGCCGTGCATCCTCCGTGACCCCGCAGCACAGGCCCACGTGCCACCCAACCCCGGCCCAGGCCAGTCCCCCCCCCAAGCATCTGTGGCAGCAACCTCTCCAGTTCCAACCGTGACCCCACAATTTACGCCTAAACTGAATGTCACCCACAAACCACTTCAGCTCTCGGTTTCCATAAAAGGACACGATAACATCTTACAGCTAGTGCCAGGGGCGGCCACCACCGTGTGAGACGCTCAGCACGAACGACCTCGTCTGACCCGCCTTTTGCAGTAAGTGCTATTTCCCCTTTCCACAGACGGGAAAACTGAGGCCTGCAGCGGTTTGGTGGCCTGCCTGAGGCTGCCCGGCACTCTCCCCCACAACGCCAAGTCCAGACACCACGAGATTTGTATGAGCTTCAGGGGAAACGCAGCAATAGTTTGGGGGCCTCGGCACTGAGCTCTCAAATCCGATTTGAGATTCAGCCTGTGAGTTATTTGTGAAGAGCCCAGACGTGGTGGGTGGAGATGGGGGGCAATCTTGAGGAGGCCCCCAAATCCGTGCCTGGGAATTGCTAGGTCTCTCGTATTGGCAAAGAATCCTGGCTGCCACCGAGGAAAAGATGCTCTTCTGAAAATAAGTCCTAATGCCCAAGAACCAACATCCGTCAGCTTTGTATCTTCACAGCAAACTAAACTAGTGAAATCTAGCTGGGTTTTTGCTTTTTAGTGTCTTTACTATGTGGAGTTATGTGGCATCCGTGCTGTGTGAGAAAGTCGCTCTTCCCAGGCCGTCCTGCGAGTCTGGCTGCCCAGGCTCTACCCCGGCTCTGGAGGAGAACATGCTTTTCTACAACAGGGGCCGCGCAAGGAAGCACGGAGGGAGGATTCCCGGCCATCAGCCTGGGACAGAAAAGACGTCCTCGGGCCACGCGTGGCCAGTGACCCAGAGCCAAAGGGAGACTTCTGAACTAGGCCTTTGTCTTCCATTTTGTTTGAGAAAAAAAGTATTCGGGAATGTGAGTGGGACCCAGACACCTGGCCATTTCTCCTGCTCTGCCTTGTTTTGCCCCGGGAAGAACAGCTGCTCAGAAAGGAGGCGTGCACGCGCGCAGCCGTGGTCAGCAAGGAAGGACCCCAGGGTGCCACGAACCTCGGTGGGGGGGAGGGGGGCATCCCCACGTTCTCCCTCCCCCACCCGCACACACAGGCCTGGGTCTGAGGCCACCGCTGCCCCCAGGGGGGCTCTCCTCCCACCCCACACTGACTGTGAGAAAGGAAAGGGGTCAACGCACTTGTCCGGGCAGCTGCGTGGGCACCTCCGGGGGCAGGCAGTTGGGCAGGGCAGCGGAGGTAGAAGCCACATGCTCCTCAAAGCTGTTGATGCGAGGCTTTTTGGTGGGCTCGGGGCTGGCTAGTGGGGTGACACTATTGCGTCTCATGAGCGGGTTAGGTCCCTTCTTTGCATCCTAAGCGAGACAAAGACAAAAGAGAGAAGGCGACAGTTACAAGGAGTGGGGAGGTAAATAAGCCAAAAAAAAAAAAAAAAAAAACCCAAACAAAACAAAACAAAACAAAAAAAAAACCCAAAACCAAACAAAACACATTTCTCTACTTCTGGGTTTTACAGACTCGAGACTGACCACAGGGCCTGACCCTGGGACCACGGGGTTGCAATTCTACCCCGTGACTCCCAATTGGTAAGAACGAGGGAGGATGTGCTAAGCCCCCTTCCCGAAACATTCCAAGACGCCCACGCGGACAAACGCAACGTTCACAAAGCAGGCGAGGGACGGACAGCAAGACCAGCTCTGCGGGCAGTCATTCAGGGACAGCAGATAATGAGATCAGAGGAAAGAACCTTGTTGCCAGCCTCTGAGACAGCCGAGAGAGGGGAACGGAGGCCTGAGTACGAGGCTCGGGTCACCACGGAGGGGCAGAGGGGGAGGAGCCAGGGCTGGTCTCCCCCGCCCCAACACTGACCGCGAGCCAGGGTGCGCACAGCAGACACGGGATGGTTCCTGCTCCCCATCACTACACCCCGGCTTAGGACGAGAAGTGCAAGCCTCGACCCCCACCAGGAGAGCAAAGAGGCAGAAAATCGGAGGTGGGGGCAGAAATGGCAAGCCGGGGCCAAACACTAGCCTTCCAATTGAGTGACCACGCAACAGGAGCGAGGACTTCTGTCCCAAGGCCCTGGGACCCTGAAGCCTGCAGCCCAGGAGCCTGAGCAGAGGTCAGTCTCCCTCAAGACACTGCCCCAGTCCCACACAGCGAGGTGCCCAGGGACCACTGGAGCCCAGCGGAGGCCCAGCCTCGCTGGCGGAGTCGGGCTGGGAGGCTGCTCCTCACCCCACCGCCCACGTTCAGAATCGGGGGCCGCCACAGGGCCAAGCCTGGCTGTCCATCCTCCTTTCCCTCTGGTCAACCAGCCAGGCAACGGCTGGTGGGAGCTGGGACTTTCATGCCAAAACCTTGTGGCCAAGCTCCTTGGGAACAGGGAGGTAGGTGTCCTGTGCGGACGGGAACATCACACTCTGTGGAAGAGAAAAGGGTCAACTGGCAAAGCGTTGTGGTTTGACAGATAGTCGGTGGAAAGTAAACCCAGCGTTCCTTCCCAACCACGCCCGGGCAGCGGACTGCTGTGCCTGTGGGGTCTCCGACCTGGCTGACCTCCAAGGGTGAGGCCTCCCCAGGGGAAACCAGATGCCACCAGGCCTGGGGTCTCCTGAAGAAACCTTCCATTCCCCGGGTGGTCCGTGGAGTCCCTACCTCACAGACCACACCGCCTCTCCAGTCCCACCCCCTTGCCACAACTTCCGTCTTCTTGCTAATTCTGCACCTAAGCGTACGCAGACAACTGAGCGCATTTGCTAATCCCGTTTGCACCGGTCACTCTAAACGTGAAAGGCGTCTTAGTCGCCCCAAAGGAAGACACTGGCTGTGCTACGGTTGTTGCTTGCAAGAGCAGAATGTGTCTTCCGTTTTCATACCCATTTCCTGGGTTACGTCAAAATGGGGGGTGGGGGTTAAGTATGGAAAAGTAAGAAAAAGAAGGCGCCAAGAAGCCACAGACAGAGACAGGGCAGAAACACATGAATGAAAAGGAAAGGCAGGGGAGAAAGTCACAAAGTCCAGCCGATTTCCAACAAACTCCCTCAGCGAGAACCCGGTGCTAAAGGACACAGGTGTGCAGTTACAGGCAATGTGACGTGGGGGCGTCCCCAGGGCTCGCACCCACGGGCCCTGTCACTCCACAGAGTCCCTCCCGGGATGGGGGATGGAGGGGGGTGCCGGGGTGCACTCACCTCTGACCTCTCCCGGTGCGTGCTCACAGACTCCACATGCAGGTAGACGGACTCTACACGGCAGCCTGCGTGAGGGTGGGGACAGAGGTTGGCTCCTGGTTCAAGGGGACAGGCCACCTCCACTCCAGAGCCACCAGGAGCCACTGTCCCAGGGAAGCAGAGCGTGGCAGGGGCTGCGTCACCACACTCACCGTAAGCAACAGGTGTCAGTTTGAGGACGGTGTGAAGGGGGCATTTCAGATAAGGCATCTCCTCTGAAAAGAACAGAAAGGGCCTCACGATGAGCCACGAGCCTTGAGGACGGACATTCACAGGTCCCCAGGGAGAGCTTCGGCCACGGCGTCGGTGCCCTCGGGGTCCCGGCCGAGCGTGTCTCCGTCCCCCACCACCCCACGCACAGGTCCCCTCCTGCTCAAGGTAGGCGGCCCTCGGAGAAACCCCTAGCCAAAAGAACACGCTCAAAGCCAAGTCCAAACCCGCCCTCACGCAGTGCGTTAGAGTTCAAAGGTCATTCCCCAGTTTAGGTGCGTGGGGATTCGGGTGAAGCTTGGATAAGACACAGGCTTAAATTTTTAAGTCTCTTAAGTCTCATGAATTTTCTGGGTGCTTTGTTCTTTAGAGGTGGGCTGAAGTGCTGCCCCCGGCCCCCAGCCCAAAGCCCCTGAGAAGTGAGGAGCTGATGACTTTCAGGAGGCTGTTTCACGAAGCCCTTAAGCCCATCAGACTGTGCATCAACTGTGCTCCGAAGGTCTTCCGAGGGCTGGCTGGGAAGCCCTGGGCCGGGAGGCTTGCCCCAACACCCAGCAGCACAACAGATGACCCGTGTGGCCTGGGTGGGGAAGGCCTGGGTCTGCAGCAACCCCACACTCCAAGGCCAGTCTCCATCCTCTCTCTTGGGGAGCCCAACTGGCTCCTAATCGCCCCCACCGCCCCGAGGAGGCTTGGGAGGAGGGCGGCACCTGCACTCTTATCCAGGAAGTAGGCCAAGAGGCAACGCAGGACGGCCTGATGGCAGATGACCAGCACGTTCTCCTGGCGCTCCAGCTCCATGATCACCGGCTCCAGGCGCTGGACCAGGTCCTGGTAGGACTGCAAGACAGACGGACAGGGATGCTGCACTGGAACAGAGGTGCACGCAGGAAGGGTGGGGGCCACGCCTTCCTGTGGTTAGAAACCAGAGGACACGGAATCAACTGAGAATCGATCCACAGCCAGTGGTGTTTCCGTGGTGCACTCCTTCTGGGCGCTGGGGGACCCACCTCCACTGGCTTCCTAGAAAAGGGAGACTGTCCCCCTGTGGGTGAGGATGCGGAGAAGCAGTCCTCCGAGAGGAACTTTGTAAACGATCCTCTCTCACGGCTGCTCCCTGATCCTCCACACGGGGGAGGGAATGACATCCTGACACACGCTTACGACGTGGAGGACGGCTTGAACACGTTACACTAAGTGGAAGACGCCAGACACAAAAGGCCACGTGTTGTACGACCCCATTTCTACGAACTGTGCAGGACAGACGTGTCCACAGACACACAGAGTAGATCCGTGGGTGCCAGGGCCTGGGGGGGGGGGGGCGGTCACAGGCTGCTGGTTCTTTTGGGAGTGATAGAACATTCTAAAATTAGTGGTAACAGTTGCACAGTATTGTGAGTACACTAACCACCACTGAATTGTCTACTTTAAAATGGGGAATTTTATATTGTGTGAATTTCCTCTCAATAAAAAGAAACTGAAAAAGAAGGGGCTGATGGGTGGCTTTTAAAAAGGACCACCACGGCTCCCACTCACGCCACTCCCTCCGTGGTCCCCCTGCTTTCTCTTACTAATCAGGTTCCAGGAACGGGGGCCAGGGCGACGGAGGAGGGCAGCGCCCTGAGCACGAGGGAACGAGGCAGGACAAAGACCGAGAGCCTGCAGACAGCAAGGACCCACTAGCGTCCCCGGCGGCCTGCAGCAGACCCCCAGAGCACCCCGCATGCCAGAGGCTCCGTCCCCTGCTCGCTCGGCCAGACAGGGCCACACGTGGCCGCGACTCAGTGAGTACACATGACCTGAGATGACACACGTCTGCCACCTCGCCTGCAGCCGGGGGCGGGGGGTGTCCCTCGTACCGAGCGAATGATCGCCCCGACTGACGCCGTCTCCCACATCACTACGTACTCTTCAGAGAAACGCATCTCGTGGCTGCTCACCAGGAAATACAACCGTACTGCCTGGAGCTGTCTACAAGGATCGGTTTAGGCAGACTGGACGGGAGCTGAGAGCGCCAGGAACAAGCATCGGAAGGGGTACACGGGAGGCTGGATGCAGAGCCCTTCTGCCCCTACCGCCCAGAGCCCTCGGCTACTGCGGCCCGTCGCCAGGAAGGGGGCCGACTGGGCCCCCCACAGTCCTCCGCGGCCCGGCCTGGCCGTCACACGCCGAGAGCGGGCGCAGGGCCCCACCAGCGCACGTACCTCCCCGGTGGGGTAACGGTAGTAGTACTTGTCCTGCTCCCGCAGAGCATACTCCTCGGGGTAGGTGTCCTTGATCTCCTCGTACGTCATCTCCTCGCAAACACCCTGGTGGGGACACCCAGACGTCACTGCGCGTCGCTCAACACAGCACGTGCACGTCTGCAAGGGCCCTCACTTCGGGCAAATTCGGTGGGAAGAGACCTCCACTCCGCCCCCCGCGCCCGCGCCCCGCCTCCCACGGCCGACGTCGGGTCCCCGCACTCACAGCATCGATCTCGTTGAGCGCCTTCCACTGCTCGTAGGGAAGATGAAGGGCTTCCGCCGTCTGGATGGTACTTTTCAGCTGGCTGGTCCACACCTTGAGGTCCTTCAGGTTCTGCTCCTCCACAAATTTGCTCAGGGCATTCGCGAACTGAGAGGGCACAGGACGGGAGGGACACGCGCTGGACTCAGGCTCCTGCCCTCCCCCCACCCCACGAGAAGCAGTGCAGGACTCGTCCCACGCCACGGCAGCGACATTGCTCTGCTGTCATCAGATCAGCGAGGAGGAGCCCGGGAGCCACTGAGGAGCAGCCCCTGCAGGCACATCCTCCCCGAAGACCCGGGGACCACCCCCCCCGCGCACGCTATACCCCTGGGGACGCACCCCATCCCTCAGCAGCCCGCCCTGTCCCCTGCCCACCCCCCTACCTTCCTGCCCCTGCTGGACAGACCCGAGTCCCCTCCGATCTTCCCCTGGAGGTTGTGCTCGCTCTCGCCGTGCCGACACAGGTAGATGGTGCGGGGCTGCACGTGGATGTTCATCAGGTAGTACACAATGCGGCTCTGAATGTGGTCCTGAACTCTGTTCACCAAGAACCGCCGGCCCACGTCGATCACCTTGATCAGGGATAGGTCCCTGCACAGGAAGGCAAGCAGCTGAGCCGCAGTGCCCGGACCGCACAGCCCAGCCCAGCCGGCCCGCGTGTAAAACCCGGGGCCCCAGGCCCGTCGCAGAGACTCAGCCCCAACAAAACCACCACGTCGGGCCGTGAGCTCTGTGAGGGCACAGATGGGAGTCTGCCGTCTCAGAGACAGAGAGTAAGTGTGCAGGGGTGGTCAAGAGGCCACTGCCTCCCAGAAGAGGGGGGGACAGCAAAGCACGAGAACAGAACAGAAAAAGGAAGGACACAGCAAAGGGACAGGAGGAAGCTGGGGCTCGATGTGCACCTTCCACACCTCAACAAGGTGAGCTAACCTAAAACACGGACACCGAATACGCAATCAAGGATTTTTTTATTTTATTATTTTGTAAAATATCTTATTTATTTATTTGAACGAGAGACAGAATGAGCAGGGGGGAGGCGCAGAGGGAGAAGGAGAAGCAGGCTCCCCGCTGAGCAGGGTGCCGGACATGGGACTCGATCCCAGGACCCTGGGATCATGACCTGAGCTGAAGGCAGTCGCTTAACCGACTGAGCCACCCAGGCGCCCCAGGATTTTTTTCAAAAGATGTTTTAAAAGAGAACTGACGAAAGTATCCAGGAGCAAGTGCTTTGTGAGGACAGCAAGGAAACACTAAAGCGGGGGGACTCAGAAGCGGTCATCTCTTAGGAATCACCTGTCACATTTGTCGGGGTCGAGGGGCTGATAGCTGGCTTCATAGCAACTGATTCTCTTCATGAAGTCGTCCATAGCTTCTGCTGAGTTGCAATCTTTGTAATCCGGGCTGGAGATTTTAACTTCCTGTAACACCACAAAGAGGCAGCTGATGAATCACGCTGTGAAGGCTTTCTGCTTAGACGAAGCAGGATTTGGGGCTTGCAAACAGGGAGAATACAGAGCAGCTCAGAATAATGATGATCCTACCCAGCATTTAAGAGGAAAAAAAGAAATATACCAGGGGTTGAGTCAGAGCCGGATGATTGCACTGGGAAAGCACCCACGGGAGACAGAGGATCGCTCCCCGGAAGGATGGAGACAGGAAACCCACAAGGATTCTAATGAGCACATCAGAATGGGCCATGATTCGGGATCAACCCAGTAGCCAGGTCGCCACCAGACCGCCAACCCTCAACTCAAGTTTTGGATAAGCACAGTAGGCTGCCGGTTAGCAAAGGCGCACTCTGGAGAAGCTAGCGAGGCCCTGCCCTACGCACCAGGCACGATTCTTCCTGCCACCACCCATATGGGGCAGCACGTGCTTGTCACTGGTCCCCACTTAGTACTTCTCCACCGGGCCCACACGCCCTGTCTTTTCGAAGGTTTGCTCTCCTGGGAAGGAGGTGAAGCAGAAACAACCCTCGGACCCACCATCTCCCATAAGTGATAGGTCTGAGCAATGGGGCAGATCTGAGGGAAACTCAGAATTTGTTAATGCAGGTGTTCTCTTCCTCTACAACAACCAGTACTGCCACAAGAGAGGCCGACACTCTTCAAAGACCCGAGTTCAGTAGGGAGTTAGGTGCTTCACGGTGCAGAGTCTCAGTCTGGGGAGATGAAAACGTTCTGCCCATCGCGGGGGGTGACCACTGCATCAGAGATGTGAGCGTGCTGAGTGCCACGGGCTGGAACACTTACACGGGTCAGACAGCAAATCTGGTCTTATGTATATTTTACCACAGTGAGAAATGATCTACGTTCCCAAACCCCTTTCTCCCTAGCACGGCCGCCACAAAGAGCGCAGTGGGAGGGCCTAAGCTCCAGAGCTGCTTCTTGGGCTTAAGCAGAGCCACAGATTTCTGAAGTGGGGCAAATGACCAGATGTGTTAACAGAGCACAAGATAAGTGGTGAGCTTCCAGCCGAGCACGTGGGGACTGCTCACTGCGGAAAAATTTAACTGTGCACCTGCACTGTGCCTCGCTACCAAGTGGGACTAGGAGAACCAAACCGAAGAAACACAGCAAAACCCTCTGTTCAGATTACAGCAACTTCTGTCCTACATCCCTGTACTTTGAGCCTCTTCCTGTGGACGCGCTGAAACTAATCCGGGCTGATTTTCCACAATTTGAATAGCCCTTCCTGAAATATGAACTCATTTCTTAGAAACGCCTGTAAATATTCCCACTACCTTGAAGAAAAGTTCCAATGCCAGAAGCCAGTGAATCTTCAGCAACCCCCTAAAGACGCACGCTGGTCTACAGCAAACCAGAACCTTCCCTGTGCACGCATCAGACCTGCTTTTCATTAGAGACCCATCTTATTCTCATGCATTTAAGCTGGAGAGAAAATTACCTACTTGAGAAGGTGACCTGTAGTAAAGTCTTCATGGTAACGGTTTCCATTTACGATATGTTGCTCTCGCGTGGCAAAATTTAAGAATTAATTAAATTAAGCTGCCAATTATCCTCAACTGATCTGAGCAAACCTCCCCCTTGGCACTGGGAGAGGAGAAGGGAAAGTTGCAGATGCAAAGGCAGAAAGACTGTTTTACTACCTCCATTCTTCCCACTCTTGGGGGCTCTGCCTTTTACGCTGGCTGCGTCCTACGGAGTTTTATCGATACTCGATCATTCTTACTGATTAAGGACCTTAACAGCTAAAGAGTCCAGCCCGCTTTCTCCTTTCCCATCTGGAGGGTTAAGTTGCCCTTTGTCCCAAGCAGCCCTGTCCCCACTCGGCTGCCAAGCTACTGCCACTCACAGAAACTGTTCCCAGTCCCCTGCTTTATCTCTTATGTCCCGCAAAGACTGCTTTCTGCCAAATGTCGGCAAGGACCCCAGATAAAGCCAGTCCAGGTCACAGAACATGCTTCTAAATTAAATACCACTCTGTACTTCCCGCCTCCCTGGATCCCACCTCTCAGACAAAACCAACAAGCTGGGATAGTCAGCTCGCTCTCAGCGTCTAGTTATTGCTCTGGGCCAGATCTGGTTCCCCACTTTTCTCTCACTGCCACCCTAGAGTGGGGTCCTGTGTGGTCTTACCATGATGTTGGAGGCTACAACCATAGGGTCATCGCACACAGACTCAATGAAAAACACCTGGAAGAAAGCAAAGCGAAAAGTTAGGAAACAACAAATGTGATTAACACAAAGGGCTGACTTTGGTGTCACTGTGATGTCATCACCACATCTGAGGAGGAAGTACCCCACTTATAAACACCCAAACACATAAAATGAACCACTTGCTCAATCCCGAGTCCTTCACCCTCCCTGCTTCCTAGTCACGGTAACCCCTCAGAGGCCCCACCGGTAAGGCCCAAACTGTAGGCAGCAAAACAAGGGCAGTAGGAGGTAAAGAACCAAGCATGGAGCAGAGGTGCCCCAGACATGGGAACCAGCCAATCCCTGAGTTGCTTGTTTTCCCTGCTCCTGCATACTCCAGAGCAAGACAAGAAGTCTGGCTCACCTTGAAATCATTTTCTTTGGCAAAATGAAGGATCATGTGTCTCCTCTCTCTCGTAGTATTGGTGGCATCGAAAACCTAATAGGGAGACAGAAGGGCAGTGAAGAGAGCCCAAGTTTGAGATGAGTAGTATTCACCAAACCACAAGTAGGTCAGCCTGCTTGTCACCTCTAGGTGTAAGCCAAAAATGTGGTTCCAGGAGAGACCACGCCCTGCTCCCCCCCCCGCCCCTCCCACTGCCTCGGGCACTCAGGGACAGATGGGCAGGTGGGAAGAGAACTTAAAGCAAATGAACAACAGCAAGGCACGGGGGAGGGACCCTGGCTACCATGGCGGGAGCCACCCCAGGTCCAGCCTGCCTCGGAGGCTGGGGCCCTCACAGAGGAGCGGGTGCAGAGCACACCAACCAGCTGTGCTCCGAGTCCGCTCCCAGTTAACCACCTTCCTGGGTCCTGTGCTGCTCTAGCCCCTTGCCCCCCCACCGCCGAACTCTCAGGCCCAGGCACCTGTCCCTACTGGAGGTGTCCCTGCAATGGCTCTCAGCACTGCTCTGGCCCGCGTCTACATCTTCCTCTCTCCAGAGCACCATCCTGCTACGATGCTGGAGCAGAGCTGGCCAAGTCCCCAGACTTACCGCAATTTGGCCCCCTTCCTTCGTCAGGTAACTTTTGACGTCTCTCAGGGCAGCTAGAGCACACTGCCTGCAACACACAGAAAGAGAAGCCATGCCTCAGACCAGCCCAGCCCGCGGGGGACACCCAAGCAGCCCCCCCACTCCTCGTGACGAACAGAGTGACCGGCAAGTCTACTGCTAAACTGCTAGGCCCAGCCCGCACAGACCCAGAGGCCTCACACAGGTGGCTAGTCACCCTCGAGAGACGAGGGTGAAATCTCATGGGGAGCTTTTACAGAACTGAGGCCCAGGTCCTGCCCAGAGATTCTCACGGCACTAGGTAGGGTAGGGCTGGCTTCAGGATCGCCCCAAGCTGCCAGGTGAGTCTAAAAAGCTGTCAGGGCTGGGCACCATGGCACTTGGGTTTCATGACCCCCCTGGGCTTAAAAAAAAAAAAAAAATCCTTTTCAAATGTCAACAGAAGATTTCCCACAAAAATGATTTTGTTCATTCTCAGTGAGACATGGCTGTTGATCTCTGTCAACCGTCAGCTGAACCGGACCCCCTGGGGGCAGATGAAGGAGTGAGTCCCACAGAGGCCAGGACTCATCCTAAGACACTCGGAGGTGGGGCCGGACCTCCTCCCACAGGCCTGCTTCCTCTTTCCCTTACAGAACCTGCCCTCAGGAAGCAAAGCAAACGGAAGTCCAGGCCCCCGCAGCAGCCCGGGCCTTACTTGCGGACTTTCATGGCTTCCTCGTTGTCGGGGCGGAAGAAGCTGTAGGAGCTGTAGTGCTTCACGGCCTCCCGGCGGTACTCCCCGACGTTGAACACTGCAGAGGCAAAGACAAGGGCCCTCAGCTGACCCCCGGGGAGGAAGGAGCCGCACACATCCGCAGCTCTCTCGAAAAAAGGAAACCACGCCAACACACCCACGCCAACCTGAACGAGATGGCGCTAAGACACGGACACCGGGAAGTGGACCCCCGTGCAGGGCCGTGAGCCGGGAAGGCCGCCCGGCAACCCCAGGCCCAAGGCTGCTCATGGCGGCCTGCTTTCCCGCCGCCCCGGTGCAGTCCAGCTTCGGGAGACCGTGTGACGCGGCGACAGGGGCAGGGATTTCTGCGCACGGCCCCCAGGACAGCGCGGGGTCTCACGCCTGCCCCGGGGTCCAGACCGGCCGTTCTCCTGCTGACCTGGCAGCCCCCGCGCGGCGCAAGCACAGGGCGCTGGCGGGGCACTCACTGTGTGACACGCGGCGCTGGGCACTGCGGGGGACGGCACATGTCCAAAGGAGGTCGGCCGACCTCACGACCTCCCCCGGGTCGTCGCAAAGACCGGTCATAAAAAGGTAACTGATGGTATGCAGCCCTTTATGACAGTCAGGAGAAGGATGTCACAACGAAGTGCTATTGGAACTTGGGGGGCACGGCTCCCCACAGACTATGCAGCCAGAGAAGGCTTCTTGAAGGAGGTGAGGGCCGAGCTCGGCACGTGGGGGGCAGTGGGGATGACACAGCAGCAGGTGGGAAAACACCCCAACAAAAGTTAGGGTACGTACACAGCGCGGTGAGAGACACAGCCGGAATGGGTCCCCCACAGCCACGGGGGACAGGCCAGCCCCAAAGTGGCCCTGCAAGGCAGGTCCCGGCAGCCATTTCTCCCCGTCTCAGGGGTAGGCGAGCAGGACTGCAGCAATCTACGTGACCAGCCTGGCCCCGGCCCGTGGCCTCACCTTTCGTGGGGACGCCAATCCAGTTGAGGTAGCGAGTCAGCTTCTTCGAGATGTACGTCTTGCCCCGGGCTGGGAGGCCCACCATGACAATCACGGTGGGGGAGTTGGTCAGCTTCGGCCCACAGGCTAGGGGGAGAGCAAGGAAAGGTGTGAGAGATGAAGCAGCGCACGATGATGAACGAAATCCTGTGCCCCACAGTGAACGTTCAGGAATTCTGCAAAAATTCCTATTTCATTCCCACCTCAAAGCCCTGGGCATTTTACAGTCCAGCGAGGCCGAGAACCCCTGTTGGCCAGAGACCCCAGCCCCCCAGTTATATGTCTCCATCCTGCTTTCAGGTCATGCATGGCAGGGGCTGTCCCAACCCCAAATACCAACCCGATCCCTGAGGGCCCTAGACCCAGCCAGGAACCCCGTTACTGACCCCAAAGCAGAGGCACTATGGGGGGGGCATAAGGAAGGGACTGCCCAACACCAGTGGGGGTGAGGTTAACAGTAGGAGAGGTGTTTCGATAAGAAAAAAACACCAGGGAGGGCGCCTGGGTGGCTCAGTTGGTTAAGCGACTGCCTTCGGCTCAGGTCATGATCCTGGAGTCCCGGGATCGAGTCCCGCATCGGGCTCCCTGCTCAGCAGGGAGTCTGCTTCTCCCTCTGACCCTCTTCCCTCTCGTGCTCTCTATCTCTCATTCTCTCTCTCTCAAATAAATAAATAAAATCTTTACAAAAAAAAAAAAAAAAGAAAAAAGCACCAGGGAGAAAAGTTTTCACTGGGTTTTAAGAAAGGAACCCAAAGAACCCTGGTCTGGACACTTAAGGTGCAGTATTTCCTTGGCTGGTGTCTTGCCCTTGAGACTCTAAGGTGACTCCAGCATCCTGGTGACAAGAGTGCCAGGGGCCACCCATTGGGAGCAAGAGACCAGCCACCTGCCCACCCCCAGCCCAACAACACTGCCTGGTGCTCGCCGGCTGCCACAGTCAAGCTTGCTCGCCCAGGCAACTACCTGGCATTGCTTCCTGGGCACCGGCCACATGGATGCCGGCAAAGCTACTGTGATCACACCACAGATCTAGGCAGACGTGAGGTTTAGCCAGGGGCTCTGTGTCTTCCTAAACAAGCGAGTGCCAAATGGGGAAGGAAGGAGAGCCACCAGGCCACTGACAGGCACAGGGTTGAAGGAGGACACCTCCCCTAAGCTGGACGCCCTAACACGGTCCCATGCCCACCCAGCCTGTGACCAAACTGAGATGACATGTCCAAACACCCACCATCCTGTTCTAGGATCTGCCCCCTGGACCTGTGGGCTGGGGGCAAGGAGGAAGGAAACAAAGCATAGAGGGAGCTGTTTCTTCTTTCATGTTTTAGACCATCAGCGACCTTCTCCATGCAGAGTGAGGACGAAGAAAGGCCATCAGGGGCCAGGAGACATTCAGGAGCCATAAAAGCGCTGGGCTGGGATTCCCCAGCTCCCAGGGGCTGGGGACAAACAAGTCTGTAGAAAACAGGCATTTCCCTGCCCAGCAGAAGTACACAAATAGAGCAAAGAAGAGCCAATGGGCTTTCTTGAGTCCGAGGGGCAAGAAGAGAAAAGTGCTGGCCTTCCCGAAAACCAGTGGGGACATAAGACACACCCTACTGTTTGCATTGTGGCGGCTGCAGGTGACTCAAGAGCAAAGTCTTCTCTTATGCCTGGAAACAACCTTTACTCTACTAATCCTTCCCTCAAGCCACTCTGGCTCTCCAGTGGCCGTATCTGATACGTCTCCACCATGCCGCGGCTCCCAAGAGCATCCAGATAGGCCGGCCCGATGGACACACACACATCCACTCTCTCTCTCTGCCCCCCCCCCCCACCAGCTGTGCACACGCATGGAATACTTTTGATGGACTCATGCCAAGTAAGTGGAAACAAAGGCGGACCGACTTATAAATAGGGGATTAGTTCTACTACCAAGTAATCGTATGCACAAATCCCTGGCAGTCGATGCTTTGGGAGGAAAAAAACTGTAAGGACATGGCAGAGTAAATATCTTAAGCCAAGAATTCAAGCTGAACCTCAAACCCGAATAAATCATCCCCCTCTTATTCAGCAAAGCAGAAGCCATTCTCCCTTGTCCTTTGGCTTCTCGCACAAGATTGGGCGGAGCTGTGAGAGGGGCCGGGTCTCAGAGCAGGGAAACTGTTTGACTAAACTTTTGAGTCTTACTCTCCTTCACCCCTCCCCACTCCTTTTTTAAACCCACAGGTGAGCTCAAGTGCCTTCATGCTATCATCACCTGCCCCTGCCTCAGTTCCCCCTAGACCCTCAGTTTCCTCTTCTCTGCAGACCTTTTTAACCCACAGAAGAAGAGCGTCTCCTTCCACCTCTCCTACCACATTCCCGGGCACTCTGCTGTCTCCTCTTCTCCCCCCAACAGCCCAGGGGCTAGGGAAGATATGGGTGGAGTTTAACACAAAATTTTCCCAGAAGTTCCTATGTGTTTCATTTCATCTTACATAAATGTTTAACATTTTAACTTCTTTTTGACCCCCCCCCCAAAGTTTTTATACTCGGATGTATTCAGATGTCCACGTAAGCATGTTTAAGGGGAGACACATATGTTCGCTATGTTGAAGGGCGAAAGAAGCAGTTGTTTAAAGACCGCTGGGTTCACAGACTATAAACACCTTTGCGGGGGTTTGCGGGGGGAGGGGGACAGAGCTCAAGCGAAAAGCCTCATCCAGGGACGCCTGGGTGGCTCAGCCGGTTAAGCGTCTGCCTTCGGCTCAGGTCATGATCCCAGGGTCCTGGGATCGAGTCCTGCATCGGGCTCTCTGCTCCGCGGGGAGCCTGCTTCTCCCTCTGCCTCTGTCTCTCGTGAATAAATAAATAAAATCTTAAATAAGTAAATTAATTAATTAATTAAAATTAAAATTAAAAAAAAGCCTCATCCAGGGTTAAGGCTGACACTTGAGCAAGAGCTCACAGAAAGTCACCAAGTTCTGGGAGCCCACCCTCAACTCCTGTCATTGCATTCATTCATTCACGCAACAGACACATGTGCCGGGTGCCCTGTGAGCACCGAGCATTATGTGGCCCAGGCGCTACGCTGACACCCCTGGTCTGCGGTGGGGAGGAGACAAAGTACAGCACACAGAGGCACAGAGTCATTTCGGAGTGTGCTGAGCGCCATGAGGAAGCAGCGCAGACGTCCGCGTGAAGCCCTGGCACTGGGGCTGGGCGTGGCCACGGGGTGAGTGTGAACTGGGCAGTCAGAGTCAGCGTCCCTGGGAGCACCTGAACTAAGGGCTAACTGTCCACAGCCAGGGGCACCGCTGTACCGGCGGATACGGCAAAGCAAGTGACAACCAGGAGGCCGGCTGCTGAGGGCAGTGAGCAGCAGACGATGGGGCGACCTGAGTGGCTGGTCCTAAAAATGGTCAGCTGGATGGGCCAGGGTAAACCCCCTCGCCCTGCACAGAGGCTGCCTTCGAGGGCTCCAGTTCCGGCCCTACTCCCCAGATTCAATGACTCGCCTCTCGGGAAGCGTGTAACGCACAGACACCAACAGGCACTCCACAGTTGTCCTCACCCACCACACCAACGCCCACAATCCATGCTCAGAAAAGAAACCGCTGGAAGACACTTTTTGTTGCTCCCATGCCTCCTTCCACCCAAAGGCACTCCACCAAAATGCCAACTGCAAAAGATGCTAAGTCATTGGTGTTCTTCTCTGCAAGCAGCTAATCATGCTTCAGTGCAAAGTTCCAGGGCAACAAGTGGAAGGGGTGTTTCTGACAGAGGGGCAAGCTGCGAATGTGGACGGGGTCAATTCCCAGATGGTCCCAGCAGGAGTCTCCCCTGCCATGTGTCTACAGGAAGGTTTGCAAGAGCAAACCAAGCGCTGCCCACAAAGACCTCTGTGACACCAACCCCCCCCCGCCCCCCCACCTCAGAAGGGCTCACTGGGAAGGTTTCACCTACTTGGCCCTGGGGTAAGAGAAGACAGGCCCAGAAAGCTCTTCTGTCCCACTGCTGGATACCAAATCATCCATTACTTTGCATGCATGCTGTAACTCATGCCTCACTTAACCTTTGTCCAATGAATGGCCCTCCTAATCTGAACGGTCCCTGCCGGCAATAGGGAGGAACTGCGCATTTGAGTGAATCATCTGACAACCCTGGGAGGCAAGCAATACCACATGGCTGAGAGGACAGAGGACAGAGTCAAATAAACAGTGTTCGAGGCAGGGCCCCACCACTTCCTCGGACCTTGGCCAAGCTACTTGAGCTCTCCGCATCTTAGCCTCTTGACCATGAAATGGAGGGGTGCTTCATCAAGGTTCTCAGGAGAATGAACTACAAGGGGATCGGTGTAAAAAATGCTTCCTGTAGCCGCCTCCGTCAGCAGGAGTCGTTATGGTTTCCATCACTCTAGACACGAGGAAGCAAGACCCACAGGTGAAGACAGGTCCCACTGCACACAGAGTGAGGGACAGAACTGGGGCTCACCTAGGTCTTTCTCATCTGAAATCCTTCACCTGAAACTCAACTGGTGGTTCTCAACCAGTGGCTGATCCCAAAGCCCCATCTGTAGCACTTCCACCTTGGCTTGGGCTCACCACTATGGATTTCTTTCCCCACAAATCTCCCCCAAATAACTCTAACATGCAGCCAGGGCTGAGAATCCCTGCTACAAACTGTAGTGGCCCCTCAAAGATAAGGTTGGGACAACTCCTAAACATTCCCCCTCCCCTCTTCCTTCAAGTTGGAATGCCCCCTCCCCCTACCCCACCCCCACCCCCTGGGTTTGAGCCCCTACTAGGATGAAAGTCTATCAGGAGACGGAGCATAACCTATGAGCTAGATTGTAGACACTCAGGTTTTGAGTGGATAAATACCTCACCCAAAAAAGTCGGGACTCCCACACAGAGGCTCTCAACTTTGAGTGATAGTGTCCTAAACGCACAGCTGGCCCTTACCAGTCATTTACTTCCTTATCGATGGCATGCTGGTCAGTAAATCCTATTACAGTCTGCAACTGACATTGCAGGTTTTGTAAGGATTTGCCACAACATGGGTAGAGCAACAGGGCACCCAACTGATGTGCTTTAAACACAGAAATATCGTCCAACTAGCCCATCTAGAACTTTCTGTTGTTGTTTTACTGTTCTTTGTACATGAACAGTAATGTTCACCATGCCATCGTTTAATTAAGAAAGCTCAGAGGAGTCTGCCTCAAGACCCTTAATTAGGACACCACTCAGAAAGATGGCAACAGGTTTAGAAGGAAGAAAATCATTCCAAGTTTCCAAATACCATTAAAGAAGGGGGGAAAGGTGACGGGGGAGGAAAGGGAACCAGGAAAGATGCCCCAAGAAGAAATACCCTCTTTTCCCCATTCTGCTGAGAAACAAATATCACTATATAAACCCAAAAAGACACCACTACTTGAAATAAGGTCATGTAACAAATATCCAGGCTGCAGATATTTTTATAAGGAAGAATGTGTCTGAGACTACACCCCAGAACCACACAGAGGGATTCCAGGAGTGGGCGGGGACAAGAGACTTAATCCACCCGCTTTAGCACCCAACCCCCCCCACACACACACCCAGGCACACACCAAGCTCTGATGGTTCTCACAGGGATTTTAGGCAAATCTCTCATCTGCGTGTGAGACGTGCAGACTGATACCGTCTAATGGATGGGTCTCTGAAGCCCGGAGGAAGGAAGCATAGCCACACAGTTGTCTGTCTCCGATTCACACGACTGAGCGAATGCCAGCCAATCTCAGTGCCCCCACACACAACCTCACACCTCCACCATGAACCTCGGGGGACTACTAAATGTGTGCACGTGTGTACACACTTACTTACAAACACACGTGTGTACGTACAGAGAACCAACCTATATTTGCATGACCAATTACAGTTTACAAAGTGCTCCAGAAATACTGGTTTTATTCAAAAGTCAAAAAGGGTGGGGTTGTTTCTGTGTCTTGCCACGGCCACATCTCCCTCACGATTTAGGGCACCGCATGCCCCACCGCCAACCAGGGAATACTGTGGTCAGCCCCAGCGTAGAAAGCTATTTCAGAGTGTATCTGAAAGTAAGAAACAGACCTGCAAAGCCCCGGCCCTTGGCTACCTTGCAAAGAAACCAGTCCTTAAGGCTTCTGGGGCCCGAGAACCCCAGGTCCAGCAGAGGGGGTAAGCTGGTGGAGGAGCGGCCCCCAGTGTCCGGAGCACCTTGCCAGGCCCCCATCACCAGGATGACCTAGGAGCACCCCAGAGCCAGCTCTCCCCGCCTCCTGTCTGGGGCACAGGGGCAGCGGGGGGGGGGGGGGGGGGCGGGGATGTTGGTTGGTGACTCAGACCTGGGCAAAGCCTGAGGTGGCAAGAAGTCACCATGGCCCCAGCGACCATGCCCTGAGAACCGTGGCAGCAGAGAAGGCCAGCAGGCAGGCTGTCACTGCCTGGAAGCCACTCTGAGGATTTGGACACAGGATCCCATGTTTACCTCTCAGGTAACCTGACCCTGCCTGAAGCAGAACACCCAGCACTCGACTCACCCCATCCACCCTCCACCCAATAGACTCCCGGGTGCGTTACCTGGAGAGCAGGTGTTGCCTTCAAACCACTGGGACCACCCTTTTAATAGGTGCCTCTCTCCGCACCTTAGGGACAGAGCCCAAGATAAAAGGTAAACCTTTCCAAAGCACTTGCGGCCGATGACAGGGCAGGAAGGTGAACTGCCAGCACATTTCAAGCACGGTGGAGTGTGTGTGTGTGTGTGTGTGTGTGTGTGTGTCTGTGTGTGTCTGTGTGTGTCTGTGTGTGTGTGTGTAGCTCACCCGCCGGCAAAATGCTGCCAACTGTGCGGTCACTCATCCACGGACCCTCCCCAACCCCAGGAGCACAGGCTTGGTTCCAGGCAGCTGTCTGCTCACCCCCAGCACAGGAACTGGGGGTGGAAGCCGGGAGGGGGAGGGAGAAAAAGGAGAAAGAACATACACTTTAGAAAAAAAGAGAGAGCGAGGAGATAGGGAGGTAGAGAGGGAGCAGACAGAAATATAAAGAGGAGATTAAAACTACGCAGAAGAGAGAAACGGGATAGAAATTAAGAGAAGGGACAGAACTATGGAAAGCGAGAGAGAGAGAGAGCGAGAGAGAGAGAGAGGCGACGGAAACGTAGGTGGAGAGGAGGGAGAGAGAAAGGCAGAGAGCAGGGGAGGGAGCGAAGGCAGAGAAAGGGTGGGGAAAGACCCGCCGCGTCCCTCGGCCGGGACTTGGCCCGGCAGGCGCCCGGAAGAGAGGCTTCGGCTGGGGGACACGCGGGCGTCCCTGGCCCAGCGTCCGCGCGGCGAAGGCTTCCCGCCGGGTCCTGCGCATCCCGCCTCCCGCGCTCCGGAGCGGAGGCCGGGGCGTGCTCGGAGTTTCCGAGTGCCTCTGCGCTCCCGGGGCGAGCCGAGCGGAGCACTGCGGGGAGGCGGGCCGGGCCACAGCGCCCCCGACGCCGGCCGGAGGAGGCGCAGCGCCCGCGCCCCAGCCCGCGCGGTCCCGCCCCGCGGCCAGAGCGAAGGGACCCGCCCGTCCGCGGGGAGGAGCGGGAAGCGCCCGGCCCCGGCCCGCAGGGACCCGCCGAGGAGGGCGGCGCCGGGCCCGGCACGAGCGCGCCGGAGGAGCGGAGTCGGCACTACAGCGCCCCGCCAGCGCCAGCCACACAATGGCCTGGCTCTCCACGCGGCGCGCCGCTCCCCTGCAGCCCGGCCCCCGCGCGAATCTGCACTCACATCTGGGCAGCGAGGGGCGGTGGTCGACGGGGATCCAGATCTTCTGCACTCGGCTCTGAGTCAGCTCCAAGGGCATCTTCACAGCCCTAGACTCGGCGGCCCTCCGCCCCCCGCGAAGAATTCAGACTTGGGGAGGAGAGCAGCCTGTCGACCCCCGAAACAAAGGGGAAGGGGGGTGCGTGCGCGGGAGCGCGGCGCGGGAGCTCTCCCGTGCGCTTTTTGGAAACGTGCTTTGTGCTAAATCACGAACGCTCGCCCGGGGCGTGAGGCTCCACGAGCGCGGCGAGAGCGCAGGGGGCTAGGGTTGCGATCGCAGCTGCCGCGAGGCCGGGATCGTCTACTCGGGAAGCCACCGGGATGTTCCGAGCGCAGTGACAGCCGCGGTCCCCGGGTGCCAGCTCGAGTCCGACGGTCTCGCCTCCCGCTCGTCGCCTCTCCAGCTCTGCTAGGATGCCTCGCGCGGCGCCCAGGCTTTTAAGAGTCGGGACCGGCAGCTACGCAGACGTCAGCCTCGGGGCGGGGACGCATTCTCCGAGATCCACCCCTCTTTCACGTGGGGGTGGGCAAGCCAGGAGGTGACCTGCTGGCGCCCCCTGCAGGTCGGTCACAGCAGCGCGCCCTGCTCCTTCAATCCCTCTGATGACGCCCTAAACTCTGGCTGAAAAGTCCCACTCTCTGAGCTTCCTCCTACGTCCCCTAAAGATGACTGGCACAGCTTCCCACAATAATCACCTCACTGGTGCTGGGAAGAAAGAAGCGGAGCCGTCCAGTGTGGTGCGTGGACCCCCGCAGCCGAATCACCTTGGATGCATCCTACTGACTCAGCCTCTCTGGGAGTGAGACCCCAACACTCTACATTCTTAACACGCGATCCAGGTTAGGCACAGCCAGGTTGAAGACCCGGGCTTAGGGCTACAGGTTGGAGAGAGATTGGGGGATTCGGGGGTGGGGGTCTCTGCTACCTTAGAGAGAAGCTAGAAGGGGGATGACGAGAGCGCCTGTGTGGCATAGGTCTCTGGGTCACCCCTTGCCAAAGCTGCTCCCTGATAATACCTGTGAGTCTCACCCAGCACGACCCCTGCCACCCACGGGGAGGGGGCTTCCCTGGTCCTTCTTCCTCACCACACCCACTTTCCTAAATCCCTTAGAAAACTTGACTTGTGTTGCCCATTGCTCCCCCAACACCCAGCCCTAAGATCTGGAACCCGGTCTTCCCCCCTCCCGCACCCCACCCCCAGCGTCTCTGCTGAGAGGCCCAAGGGGCTGGGCACCAGAAGGGGACAGAAAAGCCCCGGAGGCCGGACTGAAATGGACCGAGTCATCTTGGTCTTCGCTGTCACCATTTACAGTATTTTCAATATACCTTAATCTCTCTGAGTAGAAGAGTAAGTAAAACTAGAGCCTATTCCGACCTGCAATTCATTACCTGACTGTAAGCCCCGGGAAACTGTTGGGAGGTGGCACCTTAATTAGGCAAACCCCTAAAATTCATGACATTTATCCGGCACAGCTCACATCCCTTCCTCGCCCTTTTTTTTTTTTTTTTTTTTTGGTGTGTCTGTGTGTTTCCTGCCTCCACGGTCCTCGGAGTTTTGCACCAGCTAGTGACATGGAACAGTCGTGTGGTCAGGCCAGTGCCCACCCTGTGAAGATCCGGGGTGCCTTTAGCGGGGACTGCCGCCCGCATAGTGGTATTCCACGCATGTGGCTTTAGCACGCCATACATCAGCACCGAAGCGGTGCCCTGCCTTGCAGAGGTGCCTAGCTCACTCTGAGGTTGTGCTGTGATTGGAAGGAAGAAGGCGGCGCTCCCTGAAATCCACACCGCGCTAGAACAGTCTGCGCAGAGCCTGCCACACGTCGCTCACGTCCCGCTCGGCTCCGCTGGACCGCGCCCGCTCCCTGGCGGCAGGCACAGCTGCTCCCGCCCCGCCCCTCCTGGGCCTCCCTCCCGCGCCTCCCTCCCTTCCCGGCACCCCAGCCCGCCCAGGGGCCGGGAGTGTAGAGCGTCGCCCACCGCGCGGGTGTCCCCGACCCCCACTCCGGGCACCCCCGCCCAGCCAGGCCCTCACCCCACCCTTCTCCGCACCCCAGCCGGCCCAGGGGCCGCGAGCGCCCCAACGTAGCCCGCGGCGCTGGTACCCCGGACCCCACCCCCACCCTGCGTCGCGACTGCGCTCCGGGCAGCCGCCCCCCTCCCCCCCGCCGCGGCCCTCCCCGGGAGTCCCCGCTCTCCCTCTGACAGCTTTGCTGACTGTCTGGTTTCGGCGCTCGGGCAGCTGTTCAGAAACCCGAGTGCATTGCATGGGACTTGTTTTTCTGCAGTGGGAGCAAATGCCAGAGATGACACCCTATAACGCCCCAGGGAGAGTCCCCCTCCACTCTTGAAACAAGAGTGGGCTGATCCAGAGAAAAACATCAGCGAACGAGCGCTGGAGCCCTCGGGAAAGTTGCTGGCTGGGGTTCGCTGGGGTCAGGGAGGGGGCCCGCTGTGCGCGTGTGAGTGGCTGCACCCCTCCAGGCTTGCACACTTGCCTCCCCGGGAAGAATCGGAAGAATCGGTGTGCCTGCTTGCGTGCCTGCTACTATTCCATCGGGTTTTTTGCACACACAGCCAGGGCACGGGGACGAGGTGGCAGTCTTCCAACCTCTAAGCTTGGAAACAGCTGTGGGTTTCAGCTCAGGGAGAGTGGGGTCCTCACGAGCTGAGGCCCATCTTTAATGTCCTGACCTAGATAATGTGTCTGGCAGGGTCCAGGTCTGAGAGCAGGGGGCAGTTGAAGTTCCTCGGTAAGCAATGGCCGGCCACCAGACCTCTCACTTGCCCTGCCTCTGTGTCAACAATGCCTTGGGCTTGTGTGTCCATGGCTATGGAGCAAAGATGAAATTCTTCCTCATCACCGCCTGCACCTGACAGGGGGACAGGCAAACGGAAGTTGACTTAACCCCCCCTGGCTTCTGAGGTCTAAGTGCAAACAATGTGGGAATAGGTAGGGTTCAAGGAAGACTTCACGCGTGAGAATAAGGCAAGGGGACAGCTAGAACCGGTGTGGCATTCACAATACTCGAGTCCATTAGGGTAGCGTCCTTATGAGGACAAAGTTGCCTCACGGCAAAACCGTTTATAAACAACCCCACTGCAACTGAATTCCAAGAATGTACTAGTTCAGAGTTTACTGATTTAGACATCCTCCTAACTCTTTCCCTAGTTCTGCTAATGGGCCCATCCTCTACCAACTCCCCTGTCACCAGTCTGGGGATGAGACGCGCAGTCCTTCAGAATCGGTTGCAGAGGAAATAGAAATGGCTGTAATACGGTGAGATATGGCAGACGGGACAGCTCCAAGTCCTAGGGGAGATTCCATGGTCCAGAGCACAAGTAAGGCTAGATGGAACCTTCCAGATGAGTCAGCCCTTTGTTTTAATTGAGGAAGGGGAAGTTTAGAGATGAGAGGGGTTAAGGAACCAGGTCAAAGGTCAAGACTGCCGGTTATTAAATCTTTTCCCTGACTTGACAGAGACATCTGATAGTTCCCCAGGGGACTCGTGATGGGCACAGTTTAGCCCCAGGGTGCTGAGTGGAGTCTGGTGAAGGGGAAGACTGCACTGTACCTCAGACCTTCTCGCCTAGAACCGCTGAGCTGCCGGACAGAAAAGAACAGAGAAAGACCTTCTTGCACAATAATGCCTGGCGCGGGTGCTTATAGAGAATTCTTTAGCGATGCGGAGACTCAGAGAAAGGTGGTGGAAACAGCTTTCTCCACGACACGCTCTTCCCTCTGTTGGCCAACGTCATCTAACCCTTACCCCCCGTTCCCCGACGGGGCTAACCAACAGCAAGAAGCGAACCCCACTTGCAAGATCTTGTGCCAGCCAGCCAGATTGCAACCCTTAAACCATGCCATTCCTACCTCCTCCCCAGCGAGAGTATGAGAGGACAAGCTGCGGCAGGCTGGGAGCCGTCAGAAGTTGTTAATTAGACACAACGTGTCGTCATTTGCTCCTTTAACAATCCCATGTCTGAGAGAGTGAAGTGAGACACCAAATAAAAGACTGAAATAAAGCCTCACCTCACCATCCATCCAAAAACAAGAGAGAGGGTGATTTTTTTATGTTTGTCACTCGTACATGAATGGAGACCCAGGGCGCCTGGGTGGCTCAGTTGGTTAAGCGACTGCCTTCGGCTCAGGTCATGATCCTGGAGTCCCAGGATCGAGTCCCACATCGGGCTCCCTGTTCGGCGGGGAGTCTGCCTCTCCCTCTGACCCTCCCCCCTCTCAGGCTCTATCTCTCTCTCAAATAAATAAATAAATAAAATCTTTAAAAAAAAAAAAAAAAAAGAATGGAGACCCAGACACAGATGCCCACACGATTCCACCTCAGGGGGTAGAAAACCCAACTCAAAACCTGCCCAGGGAGGTTTACGGCAGCTCCATTGATAATCACCAAAAAGTGGAAGCGGCCAAGATGTGCTTCTGGAGGTGTATGGATAAATAAACGGTGGGCCCTCCAGACAGCGGGGTATCATTCAGCACTAAAAAAGAAATGAGCCATCGAGCCATGAAAAGATACGGAGACCTCTGTGCATATTATGCAGAGTCTAAAAAGGCTCCACACTGTATGATTCCATGACATGCTGGAAAAGGCACTACTATGGGGGCAGTAAAATGATCAATGGTTGGCCAAGGGCTGGGGGGGAGAAACGGTTAACAGGAGAAACATGGGGTGATGCAGGACAGTGAAACTACTCTGTCGGGTACTATAATGGTAGATACGTGTCATTACACATTTATCCAAAGTCCTAGAAGGCACAACACCAAGAGTGAGCCCCCAGGTAAACGAGGGACTTTCGGAGATGATGACGCGTCAGCGCACGTTCATCCGTAGTCAAAATGCGCCACTCTGGCGAGTGATGTGGACAGCGCAGGAGGCTGTGCACGTGTGGGGCAGGGATATACAACAGCACCACACGTTCCTCACAACTTTGCTGCGAACCAAAAACTCCAAAAAATAAAGTCTATTTAAAAAATTGCTATGTTTCTGCCAGTGTCATATGCTTGTCTCCCATCAAGTGGACTTACATGTCTCATTATGAGGCTGTGACAATGTTCCTCAGTGGCCACAGCCGGGGGTCCGGGTGAACAGACGAAAAGTGGGCTGCCCAAATCCCACTGAACCCTACAGCAAGTTTCCATCTCCCTCCGCCCAGGCTGTGTTTCTCCACTTTTTCCAGACCTTTCCTTTCCTTAGGGCACGCCCCTGAGCTTGGGCCCAGGCTCTTAAAACTGCCAGTCGGTGTTTCTTATCCAGCATCAAGCCTGGCTACTGCTCTCAGAGTATCTTATACTCCTTGTCGACCTCCTCACCCAAGACCAAGACATAAACTATTTGTGTTTTAAAAGTATTATTTTGTGACTTCAAAATATTTGTGCTTTTTAAAAACCAGATACCCTAGAGTCTAGTTCACGGGATCATACCGATGTTAATTTCCTGGTTTTGATATCTGACAGTCATGTAAGATGTCCCCAACAGAGAAAGCTGAGGGAAGGGTCCACGGGACTCTATGAACTATTTTGTATCTTATATTTCCAAATAAAAAGTTTTAAGAAAACAAAGTATTTAAAATCAGTGAGAGTTCAGGTTCCTCAAATCCTGCATAAAACAAAGACGACCCACATTGTGTCGATCCAGGCATTGAGGGAGAAGGGAACTGGCAGAGAGGTAGTCAAGAACTCTGTGGTGATTTGCACAGGTTCCTAACATCTTGGCTTCTTGCAAATGACACACATACACAAACAGAATTTGCATGAGTCTTGTATCTGTGGAAAAATGGAACCAAGCTCAAGCTGTGTTTTAATTTAGGGGGAAAGGATTCTATTTCTGGGCTTTGCATAGACCTTTGGGAAAATATCAATGGGTTTGTAGTTTGTCCCCAATGTGCATGCCTAAAACAAAATAAGGGAAAGACAATCATGCAGAGTTCAGTTGAGGGCTCCAAGAGGCCCTCGCTGATCCTGTCTTTCCCTGAGGGGAAAGAGCACAAGGATGGGGGACGATTTGAGAAGCTCACTGCCCATCTTCTGGTGTCTAGCGTTTATTAGATACTCACAGCAGCGACTGTGTGTCAGCTGCTGCAAGGAGCAAACTGTGCTGGGATCTCAATGATCTTGGGTCCCGCCAGGGAAGAGAAGTGGGTGGGCAAATAGCTTGTCATCATGGTGTTGTGTGCCCAGCCTCATGCTGAGTATTACAAAGAAAAAAGCTCCCACACCCAAGAGCTTGTAACTTAAGACCAGAGGGGGAAATGTCCATGTCTGAGAATAAAAACGGAACGAAGAGAGAGGTGGGAGGTAAATGCAGGCTGTGCAGAGGTCCCTTGGGCACAGTAAGAAACGTTTGCACATAATGGGGGCAGATCAGTTGGTAATTTCATATTCATCTCATGGTTCTTCAGTTTTTCTCTGAGTCCAAGAGGACACATGGAACGAAGTCAACATCTCTCATTTCTTCCTACATTCAACAAGTACTCACCGAGAGCCACCGTACCCGGAGGGGTAAGGACAAGTAAGATGTGGTCCTCGCCAGAATTACGACTTACTCTGGAATTTCAGAGCGCCCCCCCCCAGTTTGCGTGCACGCACGTACACACGTACGCACGCACGCACGCACACTCACTCACTACTCCCTTTGTTCCTTACAGTTAAAGAACCTGAGGCTCAGAAACATTCAATTCCTTGCCTGTGATCACATAGCTAATGAGCCAAGGAATAAACAACATGATCTTCAACGAGCCTGGTAGTCTTTCAAGCCTCTCCCGTTTCAATCGCCTTCCAAGTGGGACATGCAATTTCCCTCCCAACAACAACGCTCACAACAAAATCCTGAATCCAAGTGGTTTTTGATGACGGTCTCGAAATGACTTAGAATTTGGCTACGGTATGGAAGTAAGATGAAGGAGCATCTTCAGAAACTGCTCTGAGGATTCATACCTAAAACCTTTCACGTGATCCTACAAGGGAAGGTGCTACTTGACATATGAAAACAAAGCCAGCCCCGCAGAGATTCACACATCTTTGTATTCCAGCAGGCACGTCTGGAGAGCCTTCACCTTATGATGTATGAAAGGCTCATGGTCCCTCCCGCAGGAGAACAAATAGCCCAATGTTTATAGCCTCCACATCCACAAGAGCCAAAATAGGGAAAGAGCCCAGATGTCCATCGGGAGACGAATGGATAAAGATGTGGTATACATATATATACAATGGAATATTACTCAGACATCAAAAAAAAATGAAATCTCACCATTTGCAATGACAAAGATAAAACTAGAGGGTATTATGGTGAGTGATATAAGTCAGTCAGAGAAAGACAATTATGATTTCACTCATATGTGGAATTTAAGAAACAAAACAGAGGAAAGGGGAAGGGAGGGAAAAATAAAATAAGAGGAAAACAGAGAGGGAGACAAATGCTAAGAGACTCTTAACTCTAGGAAACAAACAGGTTCCTGGAAGTTAGGTGGGTTGGGGGGATGGGGTAACTTGGTGATGGGCATTAAGGAGGGCACGCAAGGGCGCCTGAGTGGCTCAGTTGGTTAAGCGACTGCCTTCGGCTCAGGTCATGATCCTGGAGTCCCAGGATCGAGTCCCACATCGGGCTTCCTGCTCAGCAGGGAGTCTGCTTCTCCCTCTGACCCTCTTCCCTCTCATGCTCTCTCTCTACCATTCTCTCTCTCTCAATAAATAAATAAAAATCTTTAAAAAAAAAAAAAAGGAGGGCACACGATGGAATGAGCACTGGGTGTTATATACAACCGATGAATCACTAAACTCTACCTCTGAGACTAATAATACACTGTATGTTAACTAATTAAATTTAAATTTAAAAAAAAAAGAAGTAACAGTTTTGTGAAAGGAAACTGCATCAGCATTAAAAAAAAGAAAAAAGAGGTGAAGGAGATCTTGGGCTTTTGTGTACTTCCCAAAGGTCTTAGAATGTCCTAATTTATTAGTAAAGGGAAAGAAGGAAAGAAGAAATATTCCTACATCTCCAACATTATCCAAATTTTTAGATAAATCTCAAATTTCTATTGTCAATAATACATTTTTACAGAACGGTTGCTTCACCCAGGTTGTCAATAGCCTGACATCTCTATGCCATCCCGTAGGACCTACAATCTTAGCTTAAGATTTTATAGTAGTAGAAACAGGTGAAACTAGCATCAGTAATACATTTTAGTTAAGGTCATCTCCACGTTATGTTGTAACACACTGAGCTCTTCTGCGTGCCATATGTTAGCCGTCTTCCATCTCCCTTCCAGACATCTGGAGTAAGAGCCGTCCAAGGAGAGGAAATAGGAACAAAGGCTCTGGAGTGGGATCTTGATGTGGGATAGAGCCGGGGGGGGGGGGGGGGTGGGGGAACAGGGAGGGCTTCAACGTGAGGAGGTAGGAGGAGCCCCATCAAGTAGCACCTTATAGATCCATCCAGAAGGCTTGTTCCTCTTCTGAGAAAGCTAGGAAGCCATTGGAGGGCGATAAGAAGACTGAGCAATACATTGGGACACCTGGGTAGCTCAGATGGTTAAGCGTCTGCCTTCGGCTCGGGTCATGATCCCAGGGTCCTGGGATCGAGCCCCGCATCGGGCTCCCTGCTCCGGCAGGAAGCTTGCTTCTCCCTCTCCCACTCCCCCTGCTTGTGTTCCCTCTCTCGCTGTGTCTCTCTCTGTCAAATACATAAATAAAATCTTTAAAAAAAAAAAAAAAAGAAGAAGAAGACGACGACGACGACGACTGAGCAATACAGCGAATGACCCGCTAGGACAGGGAGGCCATATTCATGAATACATTCATGCTCACTGATGTCTCCGTCCTGAGTGCCTGGAACAGAGGCACACCCACGGTCGGCTCTCATGGGTTGACCGAATGAGAACTTGTTTAAAGACTGGCCTCTGGTTGCTGTGTTAAGAACAGGTTATAACATGCAGGCAATGATCTTGGGACCCTGAAATAATCATAAGGTCCAGAACCTCTGATCCGGATTTGTAAGGAAGAGGGGGTGAATGACAGCTCAAGAAATAGGCTCCTGCATGGAGATGTGTTTCAAACAACTTGG